GCTAATTTTAAATCTCAGCTGTGTGGGTAGAGTGTCAGGATATAGTATGTTTGATATTCTGCTAAAAGGTTAGAGTACCTAATGCATGTCAGTGGCTAGCCATCGAGCTATGATTCAACTTCCATTGCAATTTTTTGGTATTTTTTTCAATGGCGAGTTAATGGCACATCGATGGCGTAGTCTAATAAGATTGTATATTTTAATTTGAAGACTAAATTGCTGATCAAACGAGATAAAAATTAAAATATGCATAGTAATTTCCGTGGTAGTTTTAGTAAGGCAACATCGATTGTTAATTGCCATTCCACTGAGACTCAACTGCCATTGCTAGATTTTAACAGAATAGCAAATATTATCGTAATAACCTCCATGGAGTCGCAACGGAATTACAATGACCTGTGGTCTCTCAAAAATTTGCAGAATTGGGCTTGGTTAAAATAAATTTCTTGCAATAAAAGGACTATTCATGACATAAACTTAAGGATAAACCCTAGTTTGTTTGAAACAACACCGTTAAACAATGTTGTTTCAACAAACTATTGACAACTGTTAAAGTTCTACAGTGCCACTGCTACTTATGGTTAAGGCTTTTTAGGCGCCACATGTAAGAACCTTATGAAAGCTTGTTTTTGCTCACGTAGCTGTAGATGGCGCTACGGCAATAAAGCCTTTTAAACCCAATACAAAGATCTGCAACAAGCACGTAGCTCAATTGGTAAGGGCGGGAGCCCCGGTTTGGCAGACAGATGCTGGTCGTCCAGTCAGATCAAAAGTATTTTCTTAGTGTTTATTCGATCTTGGCATCAATAATAATAACAGACTAGTGACGTATTTTAACAAAAGATTCATGAATATCATTGCATTAATTAAAATTTTGAGTAAAATGACGTTAGCTGGGTTGCCAGTTTTCTTAAAATTTTAAATAATCATGTAAAAGAAAGAAAGTAAAGTTTTACTAAAGATGTTGGAATTGTGAATGTTGAAGATTATTTATTGCGTTATTGTCTACTTCGTTCTTATTTTGACAGTTGGCCTATTAGGACCGAAATAAATTTTTAACCATGTATAATTTAACAAGAACAGGCGGTTTTCATTATCTGTATTGAATTCGTTATATACTCGATGATGGAATTAAACTGAAAAAAGTGAAATATGTCTCCTCTTTTTTTTCATAGACATAAATGCAGGGTATATATATGTATGAACTTACAAAATGGCGAACATTCTTAAAAAAAACCAAATGAACTTGTGCCCAGCAGATCGACGAACAATAGGCCGATAACGATTCAAATAAAACAAAATCGGCCATGTACTGCATAAACGTGGCGAACATACAGTTGATATCAATGGAATATTTATCGACTGCAATCACTAGCTCTTTGCAGGCGGACAACACTCTTGCGCAATCATTTTACCTCAATTTAAAAAGCGACGGACTACACAATAAAATAAATATTGCAATTTTCCAACCTATAAGTAATACTTTTGCGAGATAATACATGAAGGGAATTAGTTTTATTTAATAACATTATTTTTTTCAGAATACCCTGTCTACATTGTCCCGAGACCTTTGGTGAAGAAAAAGCGCTAACAGAACATTTAAAATCACACGAAACTGAATCTCAAAAAGCTTGTAATGCATGTAGCCAAATGTTCGAAACCAAATTGCTACAAGAACATGTTGAAAAGTACAATGTACCCGGCCATAGATTCGTTACATGTGGAATCTGCTGTAAAAATTTTGCAACTACAACTAGTTTAAAAATCCACACAAGCCGTCAGCACAAACTGAGTTTGTGTCACGTGTGTGGTAGCAATTTCTCTAGTACAGAAGATCTTAAAAAGCATCTTAGTGGCATTCATAACTCAGATAAAGTAAAATGTCAATATTGTAATTTCGCTTTTAAACGAAAATATTTACGCAAACATGTTAAGTTGCACTTGAACTTACCTAATCAATTTATTTGTGAAGATTGCGGGAAAAGCTTCAAATCAAAAAATCACATTAGAAAGCACATTACCAACGTTCATGTTTATAATATTTTACAATGTAAATTTTGTAAAAAACAGTTCAAGACTCCTCAAGCTCTTAAATCCCATTTGTTGCAACATACGGGTTATAAGCCGTACCAATGCCGAAAATGCCCCTTAACATTTACGCATTGGGGTAATTGTAATATACACATGAAGAGGAGGCATGGGATAACTTTGGCGAAAACAAAACTTACGACGATGGGCCGATTTCAAGTAACCGAAACTGGACAAGTGTTGCAGCCGGAATTGAAGGACAGTGTTAAACAATGGCTGAGCGATATAGCCCAAGGGTCATTAAGAAAAAGAAAATAAGAGGGTTCCATGTTCCATACATTGTTACGTGTCATTGGAAAGAGATGTTAGCAAAGATTTTAAACATAAAAAAATGAAATCGAGATAATATTTTTTTAAATTTATTTTTTCAACTAATTTAATTTATAATAAGTAATTTATTTTATATTAAATATATAACACAAAAATGAAATGTAAAGTAGAAACGCTCTTTGGACCAATCTTAAACTGAATTGTTGCAAAACGAAATGCTTTTTTTTAAAAGTACGTTTTAAAAAAAAAAGTTTTTCCCATCTCTAGTCGTCCATCTAAATACACGGAAAGACCCGCCGCGGTCCCGACCCTACCCGCACCCGCTCTCTGTGTGTTTCAACGCTTAGTCTGTGCACATCAGCGTAGAAAAGGTTTTTGAAATTCGAACTTGGACGACGGACTGTGGTGCATTTAACTTTTTCTTTCGACGACAAAGAAGCAATGTATTGGCACGTTACACTACGCGATTTGTTGGTACATTAGCTATGTAATATAAACCCGTTGGTATATTTTATTCTTACTATTGTAGACATTAAATTGACAGTTTGCTTTAAATAGTTAAGCTATTTTAGTTTTAACTACCATTTTCCATAGTCAGGTGAAAAGTTGAGCGTTTCGCTCGGCAGTAGTTTTGCGTCTCGTGTCTTGAAACCCTCGCTACGCTCAAGATTTTATTTTTGGATCTTAGGGTCGTATTCCAGAACTCTATTCAATGCTCAAATCAGGACTTGAGTATGATTTCTAGTGCACTAAAAATCAGTAAAAATGCAAGTAAAAAGTAAAACCTGATTACGACAAAAACTGCGTGCACTAAATAGTTTGTGACAGGAGCGAAACCCTAATAAAATAGGCGCCTCGATATAAGCTATGGCCTAGGCCATGGCCATCATACTCAAGTCCTTGATAATACCCGTATCGACCCGTTTTAAGGAATCCCGAGTCAATCTAAGAAATTCAAAATAAAAACGACACTTTTCCCTCCAAAAGGTCCAGAGCGAATCCCCAAAGCCTTAATAAATTAAGAAAAGAAAAAAAAGAAAGGCAATGTCATTGTAATGTCAAAAATCTTAGAAGTGCCATTTTGTGGCCTATTATCAGTCAGTGGTTGTTCTTGATAAAAGAATTTGTATAAATTCTATACATTTCTGTACTGTTACATTGTGTTTTACTTTAAATTCTTATTTTTGATATAATTTAAATTAAGGGCTAATAAAATTGTGGTGGTAATTTTCGTGTTAAACCAAAAAAAGATTATGTAGATTGTGTGTACATCTTCAGATCTCTCTCACACTCTCAAATTTTTGACCATGGATTCGTCGCATGAATTATATTCCTGCAGATTTTGCGCCGAGAAGAAGATACTGAGTGATTTATTAAACTTAGATGACGATCCAGAATACTTACAAAATTGTTTGCAGAAACTTAAGTTTTTAAAAATTGACTCTATTGATATTTTTTCTAATAAATTACCTAAACTTATATGCGAAGCTTGCAACGACGCTTTGTCTGACGCATATACGTTTGTCGCCAAATTGAAACAGGCGCAAATAATTTTGAATTGTGTCTCAATAATAAAATCGGAAATATTTGAGGAAAATGTTGATGTTAGTAGTATTGAGCGTGAAAGAATCGAAGAAAGTTATTGTGGTGAAATGGCTTTTGCTTGTAATTCCGAGCAGTTTGTGAAACCCAGTACATCTTATACTGAGGATATAAAAAATATAGATAATAGAGATAATTATCTTGAAGACAAACCAAAAGATTTAAAAGATGCTTTAAGAGACTTACTGTCAAAAAACAAATTCGACAAGCAGAACAAAATTTACATATTTGATTTTATAAATAATGAAACTTTGGAAATAAATGCTCATGGCTTGAAAGACAAACCATTTGTACAAAGAATTTGTGCTAAAAACTCTACAATGACACATTATCCGTCTATAAAAAATGAACAGAATAATATGGATGTGGACACGACGACGTTTACAGAAGTACCTATTACAAATATTGTAACATTTGGTAAGAATAATTTGTCAGGAGATGGGGAAATTCAAGATATTGAAGACAATATAACAAATTTCTCTGATTATTCCAGTATTTGCAATACAGATTTTACAGGTCTTAACAATGGAGAGAAATTGTTTGAAACTGACAATAGTGAAGAGCCTAATGCAACTGTTAATTCATTATCAATCTTTACTTCTACTACTACAATAGAAAACGGATTTGATAGTCTAAATCAGAAGACCAGGAAAAATTCAAATACAAAAGCAACAAAAACAAAAAAGACCTCCAAAATTCGTGTACCACTTTTACTAGTAGATGAACTCACAACAGGCAATTTTTCTTGGAAAGACTACACATGGCTGTGTCAACACTGTGATACAAAATGTGACTCAATGGAAGATCTACGGGAACATAGTAAACTATTACATAGCAAATGCTGCGGTTACAAATGTGTGGATTGTCCAGAGCCATTTGTTACCTTTACTGCTTTTATTGAACATGTAAGACGACATAGGCCGAGTTTGAGGTAATTATAAGAGGAGTAAACTTGTTGTTTACTGATGTGATCAACACTTGTATGTTAGTGACCCATGTACATTTACATCAGTTACATTATTGTGTAGTATCTAAAAATCCGGTAATGCTTACTATTTTGGTAAGATCATAGGGAAAAATTGCTCATTACTATCTAAATACTATCATTATGCGATAACTTATGAACTGTTGAGAAAGCCATCTTTTGGCTCAACATTTAACTGTGTATTTTAGAGGTAAAGGGTTTTCTTTTTTAAATTAAATGGACTTGCTCTTTAGCACTGCATGCCTAATCAGTTACACCTTAAAGATATATGTACTCGGGTTATATGTACTTGGAAACAAAGTCAAGCAGGGACTTCCACTCCTGGGCTGTGCACATAATGATGAAAATCTAAATGAAATATTCATTTATTCATTCCTTGTTTCATATGGATTAACAAAGGTATTACATAATAGATAGATAACACGTTTATTCAGCACAAATACAAACAGAAACAAAACATTTACAATCACTTCACAGAGTATAATATAAAAGCACATAGAACATTCATTATTAATTTTATACACATTTATATGAAACATATACTGCGAGAAAAACAAATACTGTGAGAAAAACAAACAAATACTATAAGAACTGATACAATTTTAATGTACCTATGACTACAGTTTGTGCTGAAATGGCCCTGACACAGCATAAATACTGTAGACCGAGAGAAGTCAAGCAGTGCTGGTTTTCTGCCATATGGTGAGCAATCGCAGCCCAGTAAGCCATGCCACCAAAGTGCATCACACGCAAATATATATACCTAACTCTAAATACTATACATATATATATCAAGCAAAAGTGTAAGATGTAAAGCAAACTATCTAAATAGTGTAAGTAATGAAGGTAAGTAATATAAATAATAACGTAAGTTTACAAACATAAATTAAATTATAACAATAGCCACCAAATACGAGTATGTATAGATAAGGAAATTTAGGTTTACAGGTATCCAACGCATTGATTAGGGAAATATCTATGTAGCGAGACACATCTGCTCTGACAAAAGATGTTTTTTGTATTCACGCATAAATCGTTTTTTATTATTTAATATTATTCCATTTAATATTTCCAAATTTAATAGTATTCCAGCACATGAACCCTGTTAGAGCACTACAATGATATTAACTTGACTAATTTTATTATTAATCTCGTATACAAGCTGTGTCATGAATTATTAGAATTATGAAAAACCAATTACAAAAATTCGCGGGTGGCATGGACACACAGGCAGACAACCACAAATTACAGCCTATACCCACAAGATAAATAAACGTAGGCCATACAAATATTTTTCTCGACCCGAGAATCGAACCTGAGACGTCTGCGTGGCAGTCCAGCATGGCAACAGGCAGGCAGCTAATAAATTAAAAAAGTTAATAAATATTTATTTTTACATTGCATTGTATTGTACAGTAAGATCTTAACACTATTACATAACATGGCCTAACATAAACCCTGTGAGGGCACAGCAGATTAGCTTAATTCACTATGTGCATTTATTATAATCGAAAAATCCTGCAAATTGTAAAAAGTGTTCGACAGTAAAAATTCTTTCAATTTGTTGACAAAAATATGTTCCTTTTCAACATTTTTTATTGGGAGTGGTATTTTGTTGCAAATCTTTATTGCCATATTATGGTGTGTACCTGAAGAAACAATCTGCAAACTCGTAAAAGAACCAACTAATCTACTGACCAAGTTAGAATGATACCCCGCCAGGGGTGGGCGGGATAAGCTGATGGAGCTGATGAAATACATTCTGTTAGAAACTGACAGACAGGCAACTTTAAGCCAGTGGGCTACACTATGAACTTTAGGATTCGAGCTTATTGTCGCCAATAAGTCTCCTGATTCTGCGTTCAATTGAATCAAGTGCCTCAAGTTAATGCTTCGCTGAGGCATCCCACAGGTGACTGCAACACTCCATACAAGATCGGAATTGTGCTTTGAACAAAGAACTGTCCATGAAATGAAATTATTTTTTCTCTCTTATTTTAGGGCAGTTTTTATGCAGTGCTCATCATTCGTCATAATTTATCGGAATATTTAAACTAACCTCATTCTTCTCATGGGTGACTCAATGACTGCTTATTCCAGATTATGTTGTCATTTCTGCAACGAACAATTCCCGACACCAGAAGAATGCACCACCCACTCCTACAATCATTGGTTTGAGAACAAAACATGCGAACGATGTGGGGAGCAGCTGCGAGATGCTGAAGGACTAATGCGACATAAAAGGCGATTTAGAAAGAGTTTGTATCCCAGCAAATATAAGAGAAAAATTGCGCGGAGTCTTCCTAAAGATGATACGTTTACTTGGGAAAATTATGAGTGTATTTGTCAGGTAAATATACCTCGAGATTTAATAATAGTTATGTATAAATCTTTGGTGGTTTTAATGACAGGATGTACCCTTATGTTGTAATAGCTCTGTACTAAAAATAATAATCTAGGATGATCCCTGTGACTGGTCATAAGAATCTACACAATATAACTTTGTAACGACGTGCACTAATTTACTAATGTGAAGAGGGGCTCCGTATGGAATCCATTTTGCCATGGCCTGCTCGCTTAATAGAAATTTAAATAGATAAGTAGGTAATCGGGTTATGTATAAGTAATATTTAAATAGCCAATTATTATAAAGTTTAGAAAGTACTAAGTAAGTATTGTTGATAAGTATGACTTATGACTATGAATAAAATAATGAAATTTTTGAACTTATTTACTTCTATGTTTTATGTTATTTAGGTATAGTTCATTTTAAACATCTATTGAACAAAATTCATCGCAGACGACTTCAAGATTAGTAGGTAATATAAAAGCACTAGCTTAATCGAATTTCATGGAAAAATTTTGATATTGTTGTAATTGTAAAAAAGTTTGACGTGAAAACCCTAAAAATCATGTATTTTTGTTTGTCGACATTTATTCTACATCGAATTGGCCAGAATATAGGTTCGGCCATGTAGTGAATGAGACTCTTCTGCATCTTAGCCAGTGCTACCCTTTAACAGATGACTCTTGCTAGATATGAGCCTAAAATAGACCAAACAGCGGTTTTTGACTAACATGGTTTCTCGCAAGCCATGAAAGGCGTGATTCATACAATATACCCTATATTTAACGGGATAAAGATAAGTTTTTCGTGTTTTCCAGGTGTGTTACCTAAATACTCCAGACATTGCAACTCTTAGGAAACACGGTGAAGAAGTTCATGTGAAATGCTTTGTGAACAAATGCATTGACTGCCTGTACATCGCTCGTGACTTTAAGAGTTTTGTTGTCCATGTCCTTCAGCATAGACCTTGGTTGGAGTAAGTAGTATATCTATTATTTAAATAATTATAAATCAATCTATTGTCTTGCTTTGTACCAGGCTGCTTACCTGCTTAAATTGACAAGTGTTGAACGAAAGGATGAACAAGTCGTGCGCCTGCAGCTTGATTTTGATTGCATCTCCCAATCGGGAACTCATCAGCATGTGTCGCTTAGCATCAGCATGTGGTGCTAAGCGACACACCCATAACAGTTGCAGCACCCACGGAAGAAAAAAACAATGGAAGTGCATAAAGCTTCGTGACGTGTTGAAGAATATTTCCTTAACTATTAAATCTGTTTTTTTTTAATTCCATTCCTCTCCTTCATTTTATTTTCTTTTTGCATGGTGTTTTAATCTCCGTTGTATATCCTAACACCCCGAAAATTGCCAACAAAGAAAAAAAATGTCGGAAAAGTAACCCGCGAAGCCATGTGAATTTACTTAGCAATAAGGCCCCCCAGGCTATTTGTACATTAAAGCCTCGATTACTATCAGAACCGACGTCGCCAAAACCCACACAAACAAATGATAAACCTATGGAATCTGGATAACGATTGGTCGTAGTTTCTTTTTTAAAAAGATGTTACAAGTTCTGGATTGTTAATAAAATTTGATGCTACTTAGTCGCTATATCGTTAAAAGTTCGATAACCTTCTCGCAAGTTACGGCGATTTGATTTTATATTGAAATTAAATTCAACGTGCTGCCATCTTGCGGCCAGTAGCTGGAATACGGCGAATGACCAACATCTGAACGAATAGAATGGTAGTATCTTCTCGACAACAGATGTCTTCTTTAACGCACTTATTTCATAATGAACTTTATTTCGATCAATCAAGTTTAAAATTAGGAAAATACTCATGAAGCATTTTTTCGCCAAGCCTTTGTTCGCTACTAGTGTGGAAATTTCGGTATGTTGACTTAGTTTTCCAAAATATAAAATTCGGCCGTATTGTTCTGGGATAATGTTTACATTAGTTTGCTACAGTACAAAAAACCTATTCGATAAACAGAAAATTGAAAATTTATTAAAATAAGACTTACCGTTGATATTAAATACCACCACGGCTAATATTTTTGGTGCGGCGGTCATTTTTGCTCTACAAAACAGCATAATAAGGCATTTTTCTACTATTTTAGAGAATTTGCGCGAAGGAATTGACACAACCATACCGTACAAAGCGAAAATGGCGGACTGAGCTCAAGTAGGCACAACTATGCCTGCAGTTGGCACGCGTGCGATGCTAACTTTTAACTGCCTCCGTGGCCGAACGGTTACCATGCCGGACTGCCACGCAGAGGTCCCAGGTTCGATTCCCGGGCCGGGCGAAATATTTGTATGACCTACATTTATTTCTCTCGTGAGGGTGTAATTTGTGTTTGTCTATGTGTGTGTCCATGGCACCCGCGACACAGGGTTTCCCTAGTGCGGGGCTATGTTGAGTGTGTGCGTTATTATTATATTATTATTATTATAACTAACCACTTTTGTTGTATTTATTGTTCTGTGGCAGTACCACTCGTAGCTTTAAATCACAAAGACCTGAAGGGCACTACCTGTCACCCTGAGACATAAAGTAAAGAAAAGTTCCAAGTGCCTGTGTGTTTTATATCACGGAGAGTGTACGATGTAATAACACGATTTAATTTCGCTTTCCCCTTTCCATCACCGGGTGACTAGACGTAGGCTTGGGTTCCACCCCTATGTTGTGGATATTCCAAAGATTCACATGAAGCGCTAAGATTCCATATGGCGAATGGCTATGGAGTGGAATTACCTGACTGGAGACTTGTTCCTTGAACGTTATAACTTGAACCTTTTTAGGCGAGAGTGAATAGGTATTATTTAGGTGTGCATGCTCCATCGGCGACCTCATCGTCACTTTCCATCAGGTGAGATGGATGTTAATAATAATAATAATAAAATTTATTTATTGAGACAACTGAGATCCAATCAAATGTTAGTACCTACAGACTTAAAACTATATTAGTATTATATTTTACCAGGGACTTTGTATTATTTATTAAGTGCCGCATAATTTGGCGCTCATTCCTGTCAGCAACTGTCTTCAGGCTTTTGGGGCTGTCACGTATTCTCTTCAGTAGCGACGCCGACTTTTTACGTACAACAGCCGTAAAACTATCTACGCGCGCGTCAGTGAACATGGCTGAGGTACTGCAGAAACGTGACAGCCCCAACAGCGTCCTGAAGGCATTATTGTATTGCACGCACAGAGCATTCCGAGAGCACTGAGTGTAGCTCTTCCACAGAGCGCTAGCGTACATTGGTGTGCAGTAAGCTTTAAACAATGTTATCTTAACTGCAGCCGTAGATCTGGTGAACCTGCGGGTAAGCATGTTTGCTCTCACCGAGAGTGCTCTCCGTTCGCGCCGTATATCTAGGTCATCCTTGAGGTCGTCGGTAACATAGTGTCCCAAGTATTTAAAGTGGCTAACCCTTTTTAACGGAGAACCATTAAGTAGTACAGGAAGTGCACACGTAGGACTCTTCCTACCGGCAGCTCCAAAGATCATAAACTCCGACTTTTTAACATTATATAACAAGCCATGGGATGTTGCATATGACTCACGTACTCCAATTAGTTTTCTCAATGCACTGATCGATGGCGCCCGCAGCACTATGTCATCGGCATAGCTAATGTTGTTTAAACAAATTCCGCCAACAAAGCAGCCCACATGCGTGCTGCTGAGTTCACCAATCAGTGCATTGACGTACAAATTGAATAATCTAGGAGATGTTAGTCCACCCTGCCTAACCCCGCATTCCAAGTTATACGGCTCCGAAAATTTGTTCGCCCACCTTACAACATTCGTTTGATTCCGGTACCAATACCTAAAAACGTTCATTAGCTTCACAGGCATACCCGTGGCACTTAGTTTATCCCACAGGATGTCGTAGGTGACCAAATCAAAGGCACTGGACATCTCCAAGAAACATGCGTATACTGACGTCTTTTTATTAGTAAAGTATCCGACAGCCTGCTTCAATGTCACAATAGCACTTTCAGTGGATAAGCCTGTCTGAAAACAAAACTGCGATTCTTGCAGTTGCAAATGTTTTTCTAAGTGTGAATTGAGCACACTGTCAAATATCTTGGCCACTATAGTAGCAAGAGAGATTGGCCTATTCTTAGCTATTGGTACCACAATCATTCGCATTAAGTCGAATGGCAAATATGAATGTCCCAAACACAATTTAAACAGCAATGCAAGGATCCTGGGTACATGGAGGCATATCTTAAGTGCTCAACGCTGAGACCGTCGTGTCCCGGTGACTTTCCTTTCTTTATTGAAAGTAAAGCAACACGGACGTCAGTTGCTTTAATTAAGGTTGGCATCGATCCACGACAGGACTCCGCGCCGATCACGGATCGAGAGAGCCCCAGAGGTTAAATGCGTACTTACATTTTTCTAAAATAAAAAAAAAAACCGCACCATTACTTACAAATAGGTATGGTGGCAGTACTTCCCTGAACGAATTCTTTCACAAGAAGCGTTACTGCTACTAAAACTCTGTAACTACTCTCTAAGTATGGAATTTTTTTTTCAGAATACCTTGCCCGTATTGTTCCGAACCTTTCACAAGAGACAAGGCACCCATGAAACACCTAAGACAGCACGAAACAGAGCACGAAAAAGTTTGCAACAAATGTGTACAAATGTTCCGAGGCCACAAACTTCAGGAGCACGTTGAAAAGTTCAACGTTCACGGTCACAAATTCAGTCTGACCTGCGATATTTGTTTCAAAGAGTTCAAAGTCAAAGCTAAGTTAACAGAGCACAAGAAGCTGAAACACAGTGACTTGGACGTCAGTCACATTTGTGACGTGTGTGGTCGGTCCTACCCTAGTCTATCCAGCTTCAAAAATCATATCATCATACATTTGCCTAAAAATAACATCTGCAAATATTGTCAACAGAGTTTCCCAACTGTTTACGCGTTAAAAGCGCACGTGAAAACACATTTAAACTTGCAAGACCGGTATTGCTGTAACTATTGCGGTAAATGTTACAAAAGAAAGAGTGGGGTGAAATTTCATATTATAAAATATCACACGTCCAACCAAGAGACGTTCAAATGCCAGTATTGTGATAAAATGTTCAACCGGAAGGAGTACAGGAGAAATCATGAGTTCCTGCACACGGGGCACAAGCCTTATCATTGTCAAAAATGCCCCTTGAGCTTCACAAATTGGGGTAATTGCAACAAACACATGATAAGACGCCATGGGGTAACTTTGGCTAAGACCAGAAGAACAACTGCAGGGCGGTTGAGGGTGAATGAGAACGGACAAGTTGTTGAGGTGAAGGACAATGTCAAAGAATGGCTTTTCGACGTCGTCTCACAGGCTCCATATTCCAAAAAAAAATAATTGTAACCGTTTGTCTTGGCTGTACCTATAGTCCGTTTCAATCCATTATACAAGAAAAATAAGGAAAATGGAATAAGTAAGACTTTCATGTATGTTTTGAAGATCAATTTGATATCTTATCACTTTTTCCAACAATATTCATTTGAATAATATTTAGTATTTCGAATCGTATTTGAAAACTGTTATTCCAAAAGTGAGGTTATCTTTCGAATGTAGAAGTATATCTTACTATAGTCTATGAATGCATAGTGCTGTACGAAAAAATAATTCGGTTCATCCTCATACATACCGTGCCAGACGCTTTACCACATGACGAAAAAAATAAATTATAAATTAAATTATACTGCTAGAACCATGAAAAACGTAAAGTGATCCACCCAACCTGACATCAGAATGGCTGGTCACTTTATTTCTTTGATATTTCAGATAGCGCAAAGGTAGAAAATGTGTCAATAAAGGTACTAAACAGTAGAAAATGGTAGTAAATAATGAGCACGGACACCTGTATTCTTTATTAATTAATATGTATATGTATAAGATGTACCTGTACCTACACATGATGTGCAAGTATGTTAAATTTTATAAAAAAGTAAAGTTCCTAAGTTTCTAGTTCTTGAACTACTCAAATATGTAACAGTTTATTCAATTAAAATGTAATAATTTATTAGTAAAACGAAAATTTCAGCTACTTATTTCAGCTATTTTCACAGTTTAATGACATACGGCATTTTGATTTGGGGTAATGCCGCCGATATTAATAGAATCTTTGTCCTGCAGAAACGTGCGGTTAGGGCAATTTACAATCTGGGCCCCAGAGTGTCTTTGTGGGACATCGAGTATATAACCACAAATAGAGACGAAATAAGGGCCATACATTCCCGGTAATTCATCACTGATACATCACTTATAAATATCAACTCTAGTTTGCACTGAAATTACAAATTAGAAAGCTGAAATAGTACAGCGCCAACAACTGACCTGTGTATACGTCTCCGCATATTCCAAAAATATTCTGTATTTATTGTAATAAAGATATCTCCAACTATGGCGTGCTGTTCCATTCGGTGGTGTGGGGAAAAACAGCAAAACATCTAATTACAAAACAAACGGAATCAAATTTCATCGTTAATTAAATATTAGACATGTAATTTTGCAATTATCGTCCATTATAGCGAAGCTCAAGCTAAGTGGTCGATTTAAAGTCAAACAGTTGACGACACCCGTCAATTGTTTCGAATTCGGGCTGGCCAATCGGAGCGCAGTTGTCACAGTAATGATATGGCAGAATAGTTTTCAAACAAATTATATGCCATTTCGCCTCTACTTCTGGTTATATGCTCGATGTTGTGGAATAAATTTAAAGATATTAACATTCTTACACTGGCGTCACAGTACATTTATGAAAATGTAATTTATGTTAAGAAAAATAGTGACAGACATAACATTAATACGAGGAATAAAAATAAACTAGCTGTTCTTGACGGTCGTCTTCATAGTCTCAAATTCATTTAAGGGGCAATGTATACACTTCTATAATAATATTCCGACGTATGTTCAAAATTTGCCATTATCGAGGTTTAAAACTATAATGAAACAAAAACTTTAGGCTTAAGGTTTATTATACAACTTCTGCGTACTTGGATGACACAAATCCGTGGTAGTTACCGTTTTAGCTCTTGCAGGTAGTCTCGATCTAAGATGTTTAAATTAAATATTGTGATGATAAATGTATTCAAATGTATATTTACAAAGAGCTACTCCTAGAGTTTCTTGCTCAGGGGAATCTGCCTTACGAATGAGCGGAGTTTAAACAATATGGCGGTTTCAAGTGTAATTTGCTTACTTATGAAATAAAGATGATTTTATAATTTGAATTTCAATTAATAACATGCTGGTGTTCCACAGACGGAATGCTTGGAAATGTCCAAATCAGCTCTCCAAATGAAATTGCTGGTCTCTAATACTGGTTGGTGGCATTGCAACTGTTATCGACAGGCGTGTCACTTACCAGCAGGCGCACGACTTATTCGTCTCGTCACTTGCTACCATAAAAAAACCAAACCAATGACATTGACTCTGGAGTACTTACCAAAATATTCCCGAGAACCAGAACCCGATATCTCAACATCTAGCGCCCATATAGCAAACGGCTCGGCCACCAAGCTCGTTAATTAACAGTAGTATTTTTTACCATATTCTCAAATTTTTTTTTCTGTAATACTAAGTGACGGGAAGTAAGTCGTGTCAGGCACACGGTAAGTGACACGCCTATCCATAACAGTAGCTGCAGTGCCACTCAGAGCTTAAAATCACAAAGCTCTGAGGGGCACTGCCACTGCGACATAAGTTGACAAGACCCATGTTTACATTACTGCTTGGCGGCAGAAATAGGTGAGGTGGCAGTACTTCCTGGGACGAATTCTTCCGCAAGGAGCGCTACTGCTACTGCAATGTAATGTAAATGCTGCAATCAATAAAAGCGATGTCATTGTGGAAGTTGATTGATTAATTTTGTAACACTGATTTATATATATATAGTCTGTTTCAATCCATTTTGAACAAAAAGTAAACAAACCTGTTTGGTTAAAATCCTAACGCAATCACTCAATAAATCGACTATATATATTTCGACTTGATATATCATCACTTTTTCCAACAATGTTCATTTGAATAGAATCGTAAAATCGTATTTGCAAAATGATAGTCCAAAAGTGAGGTTATTATTCATCTATACTTCTATGACTTGCCTACGGTTGCATAGTGCTGTTCGAAAAAAGACATTCGGTTCAATCAATTAAAGTTTAGTAATCGATAATTAAAGTTTAGTAATCGATTATTAAAGTTTAGCAATCGATTATTAAATCGAACATTTCAATCGAAATCGAACGAGTAGGTATCTAAGTGTAAGGATTTGAAGGAGGATTTAAATTGAAATTTTAAATATGCTTATATAGGTTAGGTAAGGAAAACCGCTAGTATGACTCAATTGAACAAATCGATTCATTCAATTAATTAATCGATTTGTAATTGGCGTTACAATTGGTCATCACTAAACCGTCTATGGTCGGGTCAGTGACTCATTTGTTTACTTTTTGTTCAAAATGGATTGAAATGAAGTATAATTCTTTATTGCACAAATAAATAACTTCCCAAATTTATTCTACCGGGAAATGAATCCGAGACCAAGAGCTACGGAATACACTACGCGGTATTACCTAGAACACTTAGTAGCAAAAAACATTTTAGGAAATATTCGTTTCCGAAACTGGTTCTACAGGGAATCGATCGACGGGGACCAAGATGTAAGGAATTCACTCCGCGGCGCTACCCAGAACACCTAGGCCAAAACCATTTTATAAAAGTTAATTTCCCAAA